GGGATCTCCAGAACTACCGTCCACGAACTGCCTGCTGTGCGTGCTTTACAAGCTCATCACGAAGATTATTCTCGCTCCCATATCAAGGACATTGGATGAAGCCCAAAAGCAAGGGACTCAGCTGCGGGGATCACATCCAGACAGTTCCGTGAATTATCGAGGTTTGCCGAGTATACCGTCCACCTCTCGTCCTATCATCGACTATGAGAAAGCGTTTGACTGCGTCAAGACTAATGCCAAAATGTCAGCGCTCGTCGATAAGGGATGGACCCATCTTACGTGAGGACATTGGCCGACTGCTGTAAAACTGCTTTACAACGGTACAGCCTTTCCATCGGCCTAGTGTACCAAAATCGAAGGAGATTCGAAAAGCCGACCCCGTGTCGCCGAAGCTCTTTACGGCCGCCTGTGGGTGACGGAAAGATTGAAACGAGAGAGGTATACGGTTGATGGGAGATTCCTCTCGAATCTTCATTTTGCGGGCGACATTGGACTCTCAAGGTGAAGCGGAGACGATGTTGAAGGAACTAAACGAAGTAGGGAAACAGATAGGACTGCGATTCAACCGGAAGAAGACTCAGTTCACGAAGAACGCTTTTTGCGAGAATCAGGAAATGGAATTAGAGGGCTCTCCAATCGCAAAGACGTCTTCTTGCCTACACCTCGGACGTTCGCTTGAAAAGGGAGAACGATCTGAAAGAAGAACTAAATAGGTGGCAAAGAGCAGCTTGGGTCGTCCGCGCCCCTAGAGAAGTCAGAGACCAGATGACTCAGGCTGTACCCACCTGTTCGATTCAACCGTTCTCCCTGCGCTCTGTTACGCAGCAGGGACGTGGCCTGACACTCTGGATAGTTGAAGGCACTCCGAACAACCCACAGAGCGCTGGAACGACTTCTTCTAAAGTACAACCGAAGCGCCCAACATCTCATCAAACTTCGCACTTCAGATATGAGATCAATGTTCATCTTTTCAATCCAGCGAAATACGTCTCTAAGGAAAACATCGATGGGCTGGTCATATAATGAGAGGAAAATGACATTTGGACACTAAGAATGCTGGAGTGGATCCCTCTCGAAGCAATACTTCCTCGAGGGAGGCCACCGGCAGATGGGCTGGCGTGTTCGTTGCATGGATGAACTAGTTGAATTCTTAGTTGGTAACGATTAATAGATCTGGATCTCGCTAACGTGGCCGCCGCGGTTCAATACAGCATTACAGATGACGCTAGAGAGAGA